AAATAAAAGTGCTCCATCAAGAGCGGTACAAGCATCGTCTTTGAATTTTAAAATAAAGTTGGAAGATTAACCGCACACGGCTAAATTAGAATGCACTTTCACAGAGCCACAATTGCAGAACTGTATCATAAAATAGCATTAACATCCAAAACAAGGTGCAAAAGTCCTTCTTTAATTCTAATATGCATAACACGTGTCTGAACTTTCCCACAAACTAAATTGTAAGAGTGATATGACTTTGTACCTCAGTGTAATCTAAAGCACCTTTTATGTGCTTCTAGGAATAACACCTGGTAGATTATGTGCAATTTTTGATATCATACTAAGTTCTATCAGACACTATGAAGAGTTTATTATCTTCAAATAAATGAGAAAAAGTGAACAGATGACATCTGGATGTCACCTTGGCACACAAAATGTCCGCAATTTCAGCAAGTATACGTGTCACGTAATCAGTTTTTTCTTTGCTAATGCTCCTTTGTTCGGAGCAAACCATTTTGTTTTATATGTTTTGGATGCATTTGCATTCTTTTTGGTACTGCTGGAAAGTTACTGTGCTTAAAAAAAAGTAGTAATTCAAAGTAAGCCATGCAGATCATTTTCTAAAATCATTAATGCCGCAGAATAAAATTAATTAACTCCAACGGATGACGATTTTCATCATTCATCATCACAAAAACTGTTTTATCTAAAGTCCCATCACACTGAGACCTCACTGAACTCTTGCATAACATTGAGTTCAAAAGAAACAAGAAGGATGTTGAATTTCACAAAGAACACAAGCTACCAAACCCTTGGAGAGTTCCCATCCATAATGTATGGACACACATCAAAGAGCGCAAACCCCCCCAGAGACAAAACCGATCAAAGTCGTGTTTGACGTCACTCTTTTCGACACGCTTCGCTAGCATGTGCAATTCGAGCAAAGTTTGAGCCTCTTTTCGTGTCACAACATTTTAACATTCCACAAGATCGCCCTAGATGTCGATTCGGAGATCCGTGCAGAGGGAGAAAGTTTCAAGACTTCTTGTGTTGTAAAAACCCAACATCAATATGTTTGGATGCTTACAACTTTGCTAGTGCGTGATGAAGTACCTGGGATCCACAGTACGCTGAGAAATAGTTAAAGTTAAGCTCCTTGGGTGAAGGTTACGAACGTGGAAAATAAATGATGCTTCCGGTGTTGTTGCGTGTAAGCGAATAAAACTCGGTCAAGTGGAAATCGAGCATAACTGAGCTAAATTAAAATTATTTCCAAGTGTTTCGCTTTGATTTTGTTCAATACAAACTCAGAGACAGAGCGACCCGACGGCCATGTGGTTGGAGGGAAGACACCACGTGGCCTAAAAATGCTGAAAGCGGTCGAGTCCTCAGATCAACTCCCAGCTGGAGTTACTGCGTGTCATTCATCCGCTCTTTTTCCAGCATTTCTGATCCATCTCTATCCAAATAAAGGTTAAAGGTGAAAAAAAAATCATCCCTAAAAATAAAACAGGGAGGTGATATAATACCATTTCTAAATAATGAAATAGTAAAGAGACATGAGCAGAATTGTATTTGTTTGGGACAAAGCATTGCAATGTTCAATTTTGACTTGGACACTGAGCAACTGCAAATTGAAGGATTAAAGGGTTTTGCAAAAACAAAGTGTGGGTCATCGCGGGTTAATTGCATTAGTTCAGTTTTCATGTGTAAGCCTCTTAACAGAGAATGCTGTCCGTGTATTTTTGGATTTAAAATCTCATATAGGGGCACAAAACGAACACAGGATCAAATTATTTCACGTAGTACTCACACATTACTCAGTACGTTTAACCGAGCGTCACACCATTCTGTGTAACTACTGATGTGTTTGGAGACAAAATACTCACTATTAAGTGATGAATGGAAGCCTCAGTTTATACAAACAGCAGTAAGAAATGGTTTTATAATTTACATCAGAGCATAAGTTGGAGTTTGGAGAGGGGAGTTAAAAATCACCGTGCTCCTTGGTAACTGAACTCATTGTCCTTGACAGCAGTTTAACATCAGAAAATCACAGGACGGCGTCTGTAATAGACGTGGACGCGACGCAGGAGGTAAAAGGGAGACATGAGCCACATAAACTGGATGAATCTAAATGAAAAATCACACTCCTTCTGTGAGTCAATTGAATCTTCACAGAAGGAAACATATTGATTTAAATAACTGCGTCTTCCTGAAGACACAATTATCTCACATATTTATTGAGTATATTTGTCCATAAATGCGCTCACAACTCTGAAAATAAAAAGATCTTATTTGAGAAGGTTTTCTCATCAGGCTTTTAATGATTTCACTGGTGCCAGTTTGCTGAAATAGAAAAAAAATAAAGGCTTAAAAAATGGGTTTTAAAAAAAGAATAACTGCAGCTAATATTTAAAGAATTTATATGATGAGCTTTTATGATTGCTTTCATTTCTCTGTCCTCATGTGGATTCTCAAATACGCCTCTGATTTGGAGTTGCCTTTTAGTGAAGTTGTGCAAACGACACTTTGGATGGGATTTAGGATGCAGAAGGTCCGACAAAATCACAGAAAAACTCGAGGTCCTGCTGCAGTAAATGCTGGTTCACCACCATGGATTACTGGGACAGTTGATGGAACCAAGTTATTACGAATGTTATTAATTCCACATGTTCCCACTGTGGCACGTCAAAACGCCTGTCATGAAAAAGCCCATTGCCGTCGTAATTATAGGATGGGAGAGAAACATTATGTGCTCTAAATTGCCAGCACAGGTTATTAAACTCACACCACCTTCCCTATAGATGTGTCCCATTTCTGCTACTGCCGAACATTTCAGATATAATGTGAACGTATGAGGTGTCTGAGAGCTGAGCGTGTGATTAATTGTTTCTGTACTTTGTAAAAAGAGCAATTTGTGTTCAAAAGGAAAGAATCTATTGTTTCACATAGACATGAAGATTTGTGCAGCTAATTGTTCCGGCCCCTGGTGATTGGGCCGCCTTGCTCCTGTGGTGGATCCTTGTGCAGCCTCTGCAGACTGGAGCTGATTACAGAGCAGCTCCAGATCACACCTGGCAGACATAGGGATGGTGGACCTGGAGCTCTACACCTGGGCTGTGTCCGAAATCACCCACTATACCCTACTAAGTTTACTATATGGGGCGTTCTCCATTTTGTAGTGCTGTCAGAATGCTAAGTTACAAATGCTACACCCTATATAGTGCACTCAAATTATCCCACAATGCAACATGAAAAGTAGCCGATGGTCACTAACCAAGCAATATGGACCATCATGCATTGCGTGAAAGGAAATGGAAAGACGAATGAGAGCATGAAAACTTGTCATTAAAAAGTAATTTAGCATTTATGTTTTGTTAAATTTTATTTTGCCCATGTCTTAGCTATGCAATAAACTGCAAATGTCATGTGTTTGCACTACGCCGCTGCTGCACTAGCAAGCGACGTAATTAATAGCTCGAGTAGTGTCCAAAATGTTACTTTGCCGAGGTGCTCCCTGCATAGTTCACTATGTAGTGGTCCCTAATGTACGGTGGCCCAGAAGTGTCACAACAAAACAAAAGCCACAACACAGCACAAAGTCGGCAGAAGCCGGAGATTGTTTGAAATAACGTGAAAATAAGTAAAATACTGATGGCAAATAGTGTCCATTAATCTTGGTATGCGCTATTAGTAAACATTATTTACTATCAGTATTTTACTTACTTATGCCCACTTCGTGTGGCGTTGCGCACTTCACAGAATAACTTCCAGGTAAAAAAAAAACAACTTCCATTGCAGCCGTTGTGTTGTGTTGCAGCTTATTTTGTAGTGTTGCAGCTAATTGTGTTGTGTTGTGGTTAATTTGGTTGTGTTGTGGCTTATTGTGTTGTGGTTAATTGTGTTGTGTTGTGGTTAATTTGGTTGTGCTGTGGCTTTTGTTTTGTTGTGACACTTCTGGGCCACCGTACTATAAGAGCAGGGTCTCCAATCCTGGTCCTCGAGGGCCACAGTCCTGCATGTTTTAGATGTTTCCCTCTTCCAACAACCCTGATTCAAATGATCAGGTCATCATCAAGCTCTGCAGAAGCCTGATAACGATCCTGATCATTGGAATCAGGTGTGTTGGAAGAGGGAAACATCTATAACATGCAGGACTGTGGCTCTCGAGGACCAGGATTGGAGACCCCTGCTATAGAGTGAGTAGGGAGTGAGTGGATGATTTTGGACACAACCCTCCTCTCAGCCCTTGTTCTCCCCACCTCCCATCACCCTGGATTGGTCCACCACCCAGGTCCCTCCCAGGTCCCTCCCCCAAGACCCCAGCAATCACCACACCTGGAACTAAAACCTCAACCAAGCTCTCAGTCAGGGTGGCTGGGATTTAACGTGTTCGCCCTGGTGCATCTTGTTTTGTGTCTTTATGTTTTCGTAACATCTGTTGGCAGCTGCCGACTTCGTGTGGAAGTTACTTACGTCTTAGTGAAGACTGTAGCTGCAGTTAGCAGTGTTGGTATATGGTTGTATTTTTCATTGATTTCAGCAACATCCACTCGTTTTGTTTTTTTTGTATTATCACCGTTTGTGTTCATTTATGTTAAATTTCTTTACCTCCACCAATAACAACTGTTTTTTTGTTACATCCAGCTGACCCTAGAGGCTGCATCGTAACAAGTGGGAGCTCATCTCGTAATAGTAACAATAGTTTTGCACATTGAAACGCTGGTGTGAAATCTTAAAATGCTGTAAAAGGTATGCAGAGCTCTTTCACTCCCCTGTGGTGATATTATGGTAATCTGTGCAGTGGTACAGTGGCAGTCTTACCCTTGTATAATCTATTGGGGTTTTTTTTAAAGCTTCAGATGTGTATAGATGTTCAGTTGGTTGTCATAAAGACCAGAAAGCTGCTTTTCAAACATTACAAGCGCACATGTATTCTGAGACATCAGAGCCTGGTGTGGCGGCCAGGACGCATTTTGCAGATGCAGCTGAGTGAAGACCGGCATGTGTAATACCTTTTTCTGCTCCGGCTTCATCTCTCTTCTCCATCAGCAGGTAGCGAGGACTCTCGGGGAGGAAGGGCAGCACGCACAGCTGCAGCACTGCCGGCAGCGCCAGGAAAGAAAAGAGATAGTTCCACCTAGACTCCTGCAATCCAAACATCAACAAAAGAACTACATCAAAACTTCAGACATGAACGAGCAACGCCATAAAAATACAAAGATGTTGGACAAAACCTATGTATCCTACAGCTGTTGCGTATTGCTCCACTGAACCAGCGCATTCAAATTATTCTTTCATTAAAAACTTCTGCAAGCAGATGTTTTAATTTTAAATATTCATATGCAAAAATCACTGTGCAAGTAAACAACAGCACAGGTTCATTTAACATAGCATCTGTGGTCTTAAATTATTGCGTTTTTTTCATTGACGTTATGTCCTTAAAGTAGAAGTGAAAAGTCTAAATGTAATTAGTTTGCTGCTGTCAATAAGTGTGAAGAGCTTTTCAAATGCTTCCAACATTACCAGGAGTATAAATAAAGTGAGGCAGTGAAGGCTGGGGGCTTCTAAGCAGAAAAACAAACAAACTAGACAACAGAACAAGGACAACACAGAGGAGTCTAGTACATCCAAACATCTTCAGATCTAAGAATGGAGAAAATCACTTTGTTTTTTTATGTCACGACTATTTCATGGAACACATTCATCAAGGTTCTTGCTGTCATCTTATTGTCTCCATTATAGAGTGATTTCCTCAGAAAATGCTTCAGAATGTAAATATTTATCCAAGTCTTGAGTTATGGGAGCTGATATTTAGAAAGTTCCTTTTTAATGGTGTGCTTTGAAAAACAACAGCAACAACAACAACACAGAGTACCTGAAAAATGTAGAAAACATCACATTGTCCACAGAAATGCCCGACAATTTTGTTAGATTCAGAACCAGAATCCTTAAACGCATCACAAGAATCTGACGAACAGTGTAGTCATCACCCCCCCTGGACTTGTGATTCAAAATAAGAGCAGTGTGAGGACCAGTCTGCGCTAAAGAAGCATGAGGTCACTGACCTGTCATCACACACATCACTAATGGTACATCACAAGCCAAGTTGTACGCCGCAAAAACACCGACGTACTGTATGTGCAAACAAAACATTGCCCGTAAGAAAGATGACAGGATGCACAGCTCCGTCTATTTGCAGATCTATGCGTCATGATCTCACTTGAGCAAATGCAGAGACTTGGAAGGAGGTGCCCTTTGGACAGAAAATAAATGTCAGCTCTCAACATATAAGAAGTGTGTTGGGGATTCAATTGTTTAACCTTTCTAGGTAAAGAAAAACTTTTTATATAACGGAAAACTTTTCTTAACAACTCCAATTTATTCCACATTAGGCTGTTAATTAACGAGTTACTGTATGTATTCTGCAGCAAATGTCATCACGTTGGAGGAAAGGATTTTATGTGCTGTGCTGCATCCAGTAGTTTGGCTGGTTCATATTCAATACTGAAACCTGGTCTCACAAAAATTGCATACCTATTGTAGTAAAGTGCATGCTCATTTGTGTTTTGAAAGGAACAGATTTTGCCCCCCATAGGGTACGACTTCATAGGAAAAACCTTCAGTTTGTAAAAGCCACATGGGGAGGTGGAGGTGTACGTCTGACACAGGGTCTTTACCCAGGAGATTGCAGTTTGCATCCTGTGTAGGACCATCATTTTTAGACCTACATTTCATTTTTACATAAAGTGCAGACGCCATCTCGTTAAGTAAAAAAAAAACAAAAATAAACATCATGCTTCGGGCTAAAAGTATATGTCAGAAGCATGGTTCGGTACCAAAACTATGTGGCTAGGTTTAGGAAAAAGTCCTGGTTTGAGTTTTGTTTTTTTTTAAAGACACTTTCACAACATGTTTAAAGCTTCTCCTATTAGATGGTTCACACCACAGGTAATATAGAATTTGAAAAAAACTGAAAAAAGTTGACAGTAAAGCATGAACTCAACAGCAAAAGTGTGTGGATTCCTTGAAAAGCTAATTGAGAATGCATTTTAGATGCATACAAACGTACATTTTAAGAGACAGTGGATATTAGTTTACTATTGATGTATATATTTAGTTAAGTTAAGATGAGGATCTGCTGTTTAACTTTCATGACAGCAAACCAATAAAGTAATGAAGTTGAGGATGGGAGAAGATCTAAGTGACCACTGGAGGGTTTTACATTACGGACAGTCATGTACGCCATTGCTAATGCAAAAATGTTGAGTAGTACAGCTTAAAGGTTTAAATTAAATACCTAATGAACTTGTTTTACTGACAACAACTGAAAAGGAAATTACAGAAACAGACTGATTATATAAGAAGGCATTCAGACAAAAACAACTTAGGAAGATGTGCATTCGATTCGATAATAGTTAGAAGAAAATTTACAGAATAAATTCGTACAATGTGGTGAGAGACATCGCTACTATTTCTTATGTGCAGCTATTTCACCTCCACTTCTCATCTCTAATAAATAAAATATTTTCCTTGTGATGTGATAGTCCCTCACTTACATAAATAAAGACTTTGCTATGTGTTTTTGAAACTTTGACAAACTTACAAGAAACTGAGGTGAAAAAATGAGCTTAACATTCACCGACAGCGAGGAGGGAGGGGAGAAAGAAGAGGAGCCAGACCGAGAGAGTGAATCATTACTTTGTTGTCTCGCATAAAACATAATTATATTTCTCAGTTAGGCCCTTCGGAGACATTTCTTGGATTATGAAAAATATAAGATGTTTGCCTTTTTTTCTCTCTCTCTCTCTCTCTCTGACTGATAACACAAGATTGTTGACGCTGGTAACAGTCCAACTGTTCGCACTGGGTCGTGGGTGGACTGTATAAATGTAATAACAAACCAGGGGTCTCACTGATGCTAAGCAGTGGATCGTTTTATCCCAGCTGGAGATGACAGTGGCTGACTAGATTAAACCTTTCATAGCTTATTCTGTATAACAGAGGATCTGTTCTGCATTGATTAGTGGGATCTGTGCTTTAAACATCTCAAGCGAGGTCTTACTTCTGTGTAATCTGGAAGCTGCCCTCGCCAACGGATTTATTTCTTTTTTCAATATCAAGGGGGGAAAAAAAACTCTCAATGTCGTGATAACCCCACCTGCCCACTTGCTTCCTACTTGTTTAGTTTATTTTATCATTTTTTGTCAGCATCCATCGCCTTTGTGCGCTGTTGTAGCTTGCCCCTGCACATGGATGTTTCACACTTCATTGAATTGCCTTTCTACATGATCTAACCCTGTGTGCTCTCAATTCTTTTGTATCTGCACCATGAGCCACCTAATGATAGATCTCGAGCTGCAGTACAATCCTGGCAGGCAGCTGCATGTTACAATCCAACATTCATATAGAACGCTGAACAATCAGGGTGGACTGTGCCTGTTAGGAATTTACTGAGAAAACCATATTTAATTTGACTGAAGAGTGATCATTTGTGCATTCACAAGTGTGGCAAATAAAACTTGTGATACGAGTATTTCACTAAACACAAGCCTTTTGGTGTCTAACAATTGTTGGTTTTAACTGGGACAAGCCAACTGTGTCACTTTCTCCCCTGTGCCCTGATCCCATCATCCCAAGTGATAAAACAAATCAAAAACCGCTCTGACCTGGAGTGAGTAAACTGAACAAGGCAGGCAAATGGTTTATTGCTGTATTCCAACAGCCATTGTGTGAAATAAGGTGGTCTCATGGAGCAGTTCTGCCTCACAACAAATACAAGCTCTATTCTCATTTACATTTAGAAAGAAACTTTTTTTTTCCTCCTCAAAAAGTAGGACATAATCAGAAATGCTTCCAGTTTGAAAGAACCTCAAAGCACATGTCAGGAGGTCAGAGGAAGCTGGTGGAAGACGTCCACAACAAACTTTTAGCTAGAAGACTCAGGTTTGTGTCTTATGGGGAACCATTATTCTCAGATCAATGTCTTGTTTTCACTCACTGTTTGGTTCAGTTCAGGCACCAAAACACTTGGTAAGGTTTAGGAAAATCTCATGGTTAAAAAAATGCACCTTGTCTCATTATATCTGACCCTATCCTTCACTTTCTGGGGTACCAGAGGGACAATTCTTTCCCAACCTAATATATGCTGAAAAGGAGCAACAGTGAAGCAATAAAATAAAATGACTCAGACATGTTAATTAGAAACATATTTGTAATGGGTCACAAACAAACAGAATCTCTGAAAATCTCAAAATAAAATTTTGGGCGCGTCCACTGTGTCATGTTGTCATTCAGCACGAGTTCAAAGGACATGCTGCGAAATGTATCAGCCAACACTGTTACTACTTGTTATCTGCCCAAATGCAATGTGAGCGTACGCTGTCAGAGCATCAACACATTATACTCTTCACAAATTTTGGGTTTACCACTAAGAAAAACATTAACACGCTGTGGCAACTGTTGGTGGTAGTGATCTGCCATCGGGTTGGAAAAACAAAAAAGAAGAAAGTAAGATAATGCCTGGTTGATGTGCAAAGAGAATACCTATGCTGTTTTCTCTGTAGGAAACTAAAAGTTTGCTGCTTTCTCAGAGGAAATCAGCATTACACCTTGCAGAAGAATGAATAAATGGAAAAGTTTGCGCACCAGGTGCTAGCAAGCTGTGAAAACAAAATAAAAAAATAATTAAAAATACAAAGTTTGCTAATGAGAAAGTTGGTTCTGCCAAACATCCTGCCGAATCCTGCATCAGAACAGCAGATCTGCTCTTTCATTTGTGGATTTACATGGAGCACCTATTGAGCACTTTGATCTCATGCCTTTTGTGACCACCTGGAATAAAGCAGGCCAGAGTTTTTCAACTTCACGGGCACCAAGACAGAAACTAGCCCAGTCAGCTGAACCGAGGCCTTTCTGATGCACACTTTCTTTAGATAAGACATTGTGTAATTGCTGTAGAAGGTCCTGGTTTACACAGGTTGTTAGTCTGTCTGGCGGCTGGCCCTAATGGCAAACCAATTATGATGCACGAGAAACAAAATTTGTGTGCAGAAATAATAGAATGCCACAGCTTCATCGGATTTAAAATGCAACACCTAGAATTCTTTTTCAAAATAAAACAACTCACATTTATGCAGTGTGTAATA